GGGGCGGGACGAACGAGCGTGGGGGGCGGAGCCTACGCGTACGTCACACCGGCCGCTTTATTGCCGGTGAGGGACAGGCTCCTGCGGAAGTTGGGCTCGTCACGTGGTTGAAGCCGCGCTGTGTCCGCCATCTTAGCGTCCTGCCCTCACTCGGATGGGAGGTGTTTGTTGGTGTTCTGTGGTTCGGCGGTGGGGGCTGCTGTTCCTGTACTGTCTTCGAGTTCTGCCTGTCCCCGGGGGGGAGGAGGAGGAGGAGATGGTGGTGGTGGGGATCCCCGAGGCGCTCGGTTACCTGAGCGACAGTCTCTTCCAGGAGGGGTTGGGACCTGGAGGAGGTGGAGTGTGCTGCAGACCTCCTCAGCTGCAGCCTCTCCGTTTGTGAGGTAAAAGGGGCTGAAATCCCTGTCAATGCTGAGAGGGAGGATTTTGCGAAAGGCCGAGGTGCTCGGAAAGTTGCCAGGCAGGATCCGCATGTGATTTATTGCTGTGCTCTTTGAGGGCAGCAGTGTTCAGGGTGAGCTTGTGTGGGGGGGCTTGTATTTCCTTTCGGGGGTGGTGGGCAGGTTCTTCCCTGTTTGTTGTGGGGCTGTTAAAAGTTAACCTGGCTTCAGAGGCTGGGCTTTAAAAATATGTGGTGGGGGAACAATCTGGTACTAAACACCAGTTCAAGCTGAGGTGGTGCTGCAGTGTCACTTGTAGTGATACAGACCCATAATGGCCTAGAGTGGGAGTAGGGTATTAAACTGTCATGGTTTAACCCCAGCCAGCAACTGAGCACCACACAGCTGCTTGCTCACACCCCCCCCTGTGAGATGGGGGAGAGGATCAGAAGGATAAAAGTGAGAAAACTCGTGGGCTGAGATAAAAACAGTTTAATAGGTAAGGCAGAAGCCATGCACCCAAGCAAAGCAAAACAAGGAATTAATTCCCCACTTCCCATGGGCAGGCAGGTGTTCAGCCATCTCCAGGACAGCAGGGCTCCATCACGCCTAACGGTGACTTGGGAAGGCAAACACCATCACTCCAAACATCCCCCCCTTCCTTCTTCTTCCCCCAGCTTTATAGGCTGAGCATGATGTCATATGGTCCGGGATACCCCTCTGGTCAGTGGGGGTCAGCTGTCCCAGCTGGGTCCCCTCCCAGCTCCTTGTGCCCCCCCCAGTGTCCTCGCTGGTGGGGTGGGGGGAGAAACAGAAAAGGCCTTGGCTTTGTGTAAGCACTGCTCAGCAGTAACAAAAACATCTCTCTATTATCAATGCTGTTTTCAGCACAGATCCAAAACACAGCACCATAGTGGCTAAAATTAACTCTATCCCAGTCAAAACCAGCACAGAGGCTATGCGCATATTTGGCTATACAGTGTAGGCTGCTCAATGTTGTATTTGTATGTGAGGCCCTCAAAGGGTTGGGCTTTTTTCCTGGAATCTTTTTGGTGCTTGTAAAAGACATAAGTGTTCTTTTAATGAGTTATACCAGAAATAATTAACTTGTGGGTTAATTCTTTCAGTGACCAGCTGTCCCAGCAGCAAAGGGAGTACTATTTATTCCAGAATGGATGGGCCTGCAGGACTGTCCGTATGTAAAACATTTTCCTTAGGCAGTCATGTAGACTTAAGTGGGGGTGCTGCATACTGCAGCTTTGGAAATGGGAACCTTACAGGTATCGTGAGCTTGTGAACAAGAATGTCAGGATTCCAGGCTCCCCTATGTGCATAAATCAGTCAAGTTTGCCTACTGATAAAATAAGGGTAAACTTGCTTTTATGGCTATCTTGAGTTCAGTACTCGAAACTTAGCTAAAGCTATGGTAACAGGGTGTCATGGTTTAACCCCAGCAAGCAACTAAGCCCCACGTAGCCACTCACTCACTCCCCCCAACCCAGTGGGATGGGAGAAGAGAATTGGAAAAAAAAGTAGAACTTGCGGGTTGAGATAAGAACAGTTTAATAGAACAGAAAGGAAGAAACTAATAATGATAATAATAACAATAATAAAATGACAATAATTATTAAAGGATTGGATATACAAGTGATGCACAATGCAGCTGCTCACCACCCACTGACTGACACCCAGTTAGCTCCCAAGCAGCGATCCCTTCCTGCCCCACTCCCCCCAGTTTATAGACTGGACATGACATCACATGGTAGGGAATACCCCTTTGGCCAGTTCAGGTCAGCTGCCCTGGCTGTGTCCCCTCCCAAGTTCTTGTGCCCCTCCAGCCTTCTTGCTGGCTGGGCATGAGAAGATGAAAAATTCTTGACTTAGTATAAACACTACTTAGCAGCAACTGAAAACATCAGTGTGTTATCAACATTCTTCTCATACTGAACCCAGAACATAGCACTATACCAGCTACTAGGAAGACAACTGTATCCCAGCTGAAACCAGGACACAGGGTGATAAACTGTCCCATGATCACCAAACATGAAGAAGCTAACAGTAAAGGGTTTTGAAAATCAGATGCACTTGAGAACTGGGACTTTCTAATATTTGAAGTTATCAATTTTTTCTCATGTTTCCTTGTTTCATTTTTACTACTGCTGCTTTAGGAAAAAAATATAATTTTCTCATTAGATACAGTGCCTGTCTAATATTTCAGTCTCTTGAAATAAAAGTATAGCAACTTTTCTCATAGCTAAACCTACTCCACTAACAACCCAAAATTTACTGAAATTGTTCTTCCATAGTGTCCTTGGGATTAAATTGAAAGGCTTCTCTGAAGGCAGAATGCCTTTTCTAAATAAGTTTCAGTCAGTACAAAGCACAGTAATATGCTAGAGGAGCCTCAGGAAAGGACAAAGTGTTTGTATGAAAGTGTTTGCAAAGGAGTCAGTTACTTAGTCTGTGCATAAACCTGCACTGAGTTTTAAATCAAGGTATTCAAAACCTGTGTTTAATTAAGATAACTAATTCAAAGCACTTTAAAATAAATTTAAAAGTGTTTGCAGAAAATAATATCACTAATTCAGTTCAAATGGGTTTGTAGGGTAGGTAAGTAGCTTGATAAGGTTATAAATTTTCTGTGATACTGATTTAAAAGTTTCAGTTGCATTCGCTGAAATGTTCTCCAGTATATCATTGCAAGTATCTAGGCAAATGATCTTGAATTAATTTTCTAATAGCTTTAATAGTGGCCTCTTGCTAACATGGGATTTTTCTTTCAGATATTCCTTTAGCTTTATGTGGTTTACAGACTTGGAGGTATAACAAAAATAGCACTCCAGTATAATGATAGGCAGGAGTACAAATCAGTATACTCTAAGCAGCAAGACAAGTAAATAGGAAGCTAATGTATACCACATACTTAAAAATTAATTGTTCTTTGATATTTCCCTTCAAGTAGTTTCTTGTTTCATACGGGCTGGTTGTTATCTAGTATTTTCTCCCTATTATACCTGTTACACATATCTATGTTTTATCTTTATTTTCTTCTTTCTAATCTTTCTTTAAATACTGTAACCATTGTGAAGAAAAAAAAGTAGCTGTGATTCTTTATTATCATGCCTACGAAGAAATAGAAATCAGCATCTGAGCTGGAAACTAATCTGGGCCCAGTTAATTGAAAACACTAGAAAACCTGAAATATCACAATGAATACCTCTTCCCAAATCTATGTCTTCATTCTGCTGCTTTTACTGAGGATGAGTGGAAAATTCTTCAGGAGTTACTGTGGTGTACTCATCGCTATTGGTAATTGCTAGTGCTTTTCAGCAGTATCTTAAGACTGTCACTTCCAGGAGACAAGGTCCCTGCCTACCTGCTGGTGGTGGCTGGATTGGTGTGGGGCACTACAGAATTTGGGTCTGAGACTGCTGAGTGGCATAGAGGAAATGTTTGGCCAGAGGGAGTAAAATAGCATTATATTCCATGATATTTTTTCTATTTTTGTGGACCTAACAAAGTGCTGTGGTATACTTACAGCTGTGAATCTTCTGCAATGGAAGCGTAGGCTCTGACAGATCTGTGCAAACATCTCTGATGCAGTATCCTCCATCAAGCACAACAAAAGTCAGTGGAATTGTGTGAAGGATTAATGGTTTGAAGTTGTGCTGGATGCAAAGAAAATGGTAGTTTCTCTTAGAAATTGATACCACTGCTGTCTCTTTGACAATAGGATTTTATTTGCACATTGGTATTAACTCTGTTTTCAAGATATCTTACGAGGGGGTGGTTTATCTTTTCTTGCTGAGAAGAGTGTGTATAGAAGGACATAAACCACAGCTGAGCATCTTTGGCATATTTTTTTTTCTCACTTTTTTTTTGGTGTGTGCATGGTGTGATTTTGAGACAGTGGTGGTAACTGGGTATGTGTGCTTGCACACTCTTTGCAGGGATCATGAAGTGCTTGGCGGGCCATCCACCCGATCCTCATCTTTCCATCCTTTCAGGGCTCTGGTAGATATGGAATGGTTCAGAAGAGCCAGTGGCTACCAGGAGTATAGCTGGAATTAAAGTCATCATGAAGTGGGGAGGCATTTCAAGTCTTCAATTTTTCTGAAGCCCACACATGAGAAAGAGAGCTGTCTGAATACTTGCAGCCAGAAGTGGGTGATACCTAACTCGTGTTTTTGTCATTGAAAAGTGCCCTCAAAAGAGGGTCTCCTTCCTCTAAAGCTTTTGCAGGAGGGGAGACAAGCAATAAGTACTCACTTTGAGAAACTTGCACAGGTTTGTGGTGCAGTTGTGCCACAAGAGAAAATGTTAAGCCCTATCTATAAAAAATAGTTGTGTTAACTACAATTATATTTCTGTAGTTGAAATGGTTATATCCCCTTTGTGCACACACAGTTGTAACAGCAGAAAGATGCATTATACTTCTGGTAAGGAAGGTACATTGATACATGGTATCGGGGACTAAGTAATTATTTCAGACTTTTGTTTTCTGATGAAATACTGGGGATAGATGGGAACCAACAACATGTTATTAGAGAATTTATATATAAGGAAAAGGTGACATTTACTGAGTCCCATTAAAACAACAATAGAAATGAGCACAGGTTTTATTCATTGATTTTAAAAGTACACACATCAGAAAGTATAATTTTTCAAGGAAAGTGAATGATGAAATCATATGTTAAGTGTACCAATCACCTTCAATACTGTTTCATTTGTTACTTGTTTAATGTCTAATTAAATAGTACCATACTGAAATTTAGTCTAGTTGCTTCATCAGTAGTTCTACTAGTCTTTGCTATAGCTCTTCAAGATATTTCAAATAACTGCTGTGATAAAACCTTAGTTTCTAAAATCAGTAACCTGAAAACAGGAAAAAAAAGATAAAATTGCTCTTATATCTCAAATAACAGAAGTGAGTATCTGTCATTGAAGCCCAGCATCTTCGTAAGAACATCTAATTTTACACTGTAAAACAACAGATTATATAGTAAGGATATTCCTTGGCTAATAAGAGTAGTAGATCTTCAGCAGGTCGATCAGTGTAACTAGGAAGACTATTTTGCTATTTAAAGTTTTAGTCAAGTTTTTGCCTAAGTTTTATGTATTATTGAATGTCTTCATTGTGAGACGTATAATCCAAGCCTCCTTGCTGCTTCAGAAATTCTCGGTCCTTTTTTATTGGGGAAAGGGTAAAAGTTTAGTTTGTTGCAGGCCGGCATGCATTTTGTAGAAGAAATATGTTGATGTGTCCAAACTGCTGACGTGGCTGATTTCGGAGGAGGCTTTTGGCAGGTGCTTGAAATGTTGCTGCCATTCTCTTCGCTGAAACTGTTCAACGTGTTTGAACTTCCCAGTTGACTGAGCACGGATAGTTCACTTGCTCCTTCTAATTCCTTGTGTTGCAGCGTGCCGTTTCCCTTTGAAATCAGCCTCTGATTGTCAAAACCGTGTGGTCTGTTCTTGCAGTGGGAAAGATCCCAGCTAACTCCTTGACAAGGGGCTTGCACCAGGCGGTGAATTCCCAGGTGCGTACGCCATGGTGAGCTGTCTTGTACGTTGCCGCTGCTGGTCATCTCCAGTTTGATCTTTCTGACAGGAATATGTTCTGTAAATGACTTTGATCTTCTAACATGTTTATTAATTAAAACAGCACTGACCATTGATGCTGGGAGAACAGATTCATGTTCACCTACAAGAGAAATGCATACATGCACGTTACTATGGTGGCAAAAATTAAGGGTGTAAACTGAAAGGTTTTAACAGATGAGTTTATCCGCACTCTTTCTGTCTGTGGCTGAGAGTAGTGCAAGTTCTTCTGATGCCACGTTACGGAGTAGAAATATTGCATGCTCGGTTTTGCAGTTCTGAGGACAGAAACGGTACCCCCAGGGTTAGTCAAATGAAAATGGAGATTTATCAAGTCAATATTGATCTAACCGGTACTCTAAGACTCATTAACAACACAGATTGAGAATTGACTTTCAGTAATTAATTGCTTGTAAGCAAAAATTCTTAAGGTGAGCAGGGACTTGCTCTGTGCGTTGGTAGGTGTTGTGATTTGAAAGACAAAAATGTTCTGTTTGATATTGTTTGAAGTTGTATTCACAACTTAAAAATACTGTGACCACTTCCAGATGAAAGAAGTTGTGAATTTCTTTTTTCTTAATGAGGGATCGTTGACATATAGGCTTGTATTTTAATATTTTACTGCAATTTTACTATTGTAGTCAGTATAAATGGTGTAAAGTAAACAGCTTATCACACTAGTGTTGCCTGAATGATTGCTTTGAGGAAAAATCTGCTTGATCCATGAATGGTATAGAGTAGCTGTAACAGTGGGAGAGAATCTGGTCTCTTCTTTTTTTCTGCTATCCCTATAGCTTAATTTCTAAAGCGTTATGAAAGTTACTGTTAGAAATGTATAAGATATTAGGGATAGAAACGCTAATGCTACTTTAATTGCTTGTAGCAGTCATCAAATTAATGAACATGACTGGCTTTCTGTGCCTTGAAAATGAATAGAAACTGAACCACTACACTAAAGATAAACTGCTGTTGACATTGCAAATACTAATGAAATACACTTCAGGTAGTATAAATATAGTTTAAAGTAGGAGTTGTGCAGAATGCTGACCTTATTTACAGGGCTGAGTTATAGGAACTGTGTCTGCAGTATGAGTTATGAAGCATATTAAAGTTAAAAAAGTAGACATAGAAGAGTGCTGATTATATTCTGAAACAGAATATCTGAATAGCCATTTAAAAAGAATTGTAACCCTGAATTTGAAGTGAAGCTGTTTGGAATAGGATGCTGCCTTTAAATAAAACAACAGAACAACCCCCGCTTTGTAACTGTCTTTCATACCGGCTTTACAAGGAAATATTTGAAGAGATCAGACCCAGCTGATTTACTGGCAGTAAACGAACCTGTACAACAGGGCTTCAGCTAAGGAGGGGCTTTCACGACTGTCTTTGGCTCCCACTGCTGAAGGAACACCACCAGCATAATATCACAGAATTTTTTCTGCTCCCTGGGTTGGCCATGTAGGGTTGATCTGGTAAGAGCTGCTTTGCAGCATGGCTGTGGGAGTGAGAACTGTGTCAGCCCACAGCTTCCACTCTCCTGCAGTGTTACCAGGAGAAAGGAGACTAAAGCACATGTAGAGCTTAGAGATATAGATGTGTTTGTGCATATGTCTATACAGTGAAGTATGCTAACAGAATTTCCTAGGGTGAAACCATTCATAGAGGTAAGAACACACAGTTCTCTATATTGAACAGTGAGAATCAAAGTTAGGACTGGATGTTATCCAGGAAATAAAGCTGAGCTTAGGTGGCTACAAAAAGTCCACTTGCAAAATAGACCCATGTGTTTTGCAGAACAGCATGGTATAGCACCAAGCTACAAAAATTAGGGACTGTTCTCCATGTGTGAGAGAAAAAGCAAGAGAGAAGGAACTGAGAGACTGAGGTGATGCAGCTTTGCATGTTCTTGTGGATGTAATTGCACTCTTGGCTGAACTGGCATTAATAGGCAACATCAGGTTTTATCTTGAACCTTATGAACTGGTCATCAGAACAATTACCATCTGGCTTGAGTTGATCAAAGAGTTCGAAGTAATGCATCTAGTCAAATTTTAATAGTCCGGACTGGTTTTGAGTTCAGGTTTGATTTGATTCCTTGGCTACAGGTGTGGCACACAAAATTGAGCAATGACCTTGGGTAGAAATGTGAGAGTCCTGAACCACTGTGTCTTGAATTAACACACATTCAGCACTCTCTCAACTTCTAAAGAAAGCTTTAATTAGACAGATCTTTGGTCTTTCTTTCTTTTTCCTTTTTTTTTTTTTTTTTTAATAAATTGTGCATTATAGCCTCATTGCAGGGTTTTTTACCATCTGGCCTTTTTCATATGCTGTCATCATAAATAGATACTTTTAAGGTTCTGGAGTGACAAAAGTTAATCTTATTTCAAGTTAGGTTGGGAAATACTTGGAAGAGATTTCTGCAGTCAGAGCAGAAACTGTTGTGACTGCATGCGCCGAATGATCCCATTTAATTCCTAAAGTAAATACAGTTTTTCAGTTTCTTAGCCAATAAATAATGAATACACTGCTATATTATCCCCTAGCTGGTGACTTTGGAATCTTGTCATGCTCTTTGTTCTCAAATAATCAGGAAGAGGCAGAAGTGTGAACGTGGCTGTGTGTATTGCAGAAGGAACAGAAGACAGTTGTTTTCAGGTGACTTCTCAGTTATTAACCTACCAGTCAAAAACCTAGAGACGTTAGAGGATCTGAAGTTCTGTTTAAAAGTCCACAATTTCATGACACTGGCAAACAGGTAGAGACATAAAAAGCTAAAAGTCTTCAAGGAAACTTGGAGTTACCATTCCAACTGTGGTGCAATAAACCTCAAATGCTCAAAATCCCTGTGGTATCACAGAAGGACAGCTGGTCTGTCAGACAGGAAAAATTTAGGGGTTTGCTAGATGGAACGAAGACCTTTAGCAGGGATTTTTAAGACCATGAGGACTGAAGGTGCCTTCCTTCCATGAGGTTTAAAACTCATGAGGTTTTGTGTCTGGCCTTTGAGGTTTGTGTGTATGTGCGGGGTTGTGGTGGTGCTGTCATTGTTGTCCCCATCCCAGCCTAGGCATAATCTTACCCTCTAGGTAGGGAAACAGTTTGCTGTCAGTACAAAATACTGATACATACATGGACTGCCTTTTGGTACTAGCTGGAATTTCTGGATAGTTTACGCTGGTAACTTAAGGAGTGTAGAGCAGTAGGCTATCCCAATATGGCAGTGTTCATTTCTGCTTGACATATTCTTGGAAACTGATGCATGTAACAGGTTCAAAGTGCTGAGCTATGTAATAGGTTTTCCCTGCTTCCAAACCATAGGAATGTATAAGATCAACTTTCTGCACATTGAGAACTCACATAACAAAAACCCCCCAAACTTTAACTGCTTCTAACAGTAACATAGATCCTTTCCACACAGGTTGTTTAAAGATAGTAGTTCAGTGCAGTAGGTTGTGTGGTTTTGTGAATGTTTTGGGTTATATGTATGTGTATGAAAATATGTGTATGTGAACTTCCAGTCCTACTAAATCTTAAACTTCCCAGAAACTGTGCAGTCCTATTTTCTTATGTCTTTTCTTTAATCTTCAAATGGTGTCTTTGCAAAAAATCTGCTCTGATTACATTCATTATATCTGAAGCTTCATTTGAATTTAATCTGAATACAGACTCCTGCTTCCTTTCTTTAACTAACTTACATTTTTGCTATAGCTGATGAGATGGGCTGTTTTGTCTTCAAATTATTTGCCTTTTCATACCTGATAAAATAAGCGTATATAATTTTTTTTCTTCCTCACAGAGATTGAAATTCTTTTAACATAAGAATTTCTAGACATTTGGATGAAAGAATATTGACGAAGTGAATCTGTTGTGTAGTTCATAGTTATGTGTTTTTTCAATTGTTTTGATGATATAGTCTGGCACAGCTAAAATCTAGAACTGCTGAAAAATGTAGAGGAAAATGTAAAGAGTGAGATAACCTAAGTTTTGCATTTGTTGAGCTCAATACTAATATGAGAGGTGAACAAAGCATATTTATCATATTGCAATTAAATTCAGAAGAAAACTTCATTAATTGACTTAGTATTCTCAATATCACTTTAACTTGGGAAGTAAATGAAATGTTATCAGTGTAATATTGTAAGCAGTAGCCTAACTAAAAACTTTAAATAGTTGAAAGTTTCTTATATAAAATCTGTCTGACATAGGTAGATGAGTGATACATATTGCTACTTGTTTTTCTATTTATGTACTTTTCAAGCAATATGCAGTGAAAATACTTTCAAAACAGGACCTTTTGTTCAGAGCTTGTATCTTAGTTACCCACTATGACTCTTAGTATAAGTTAATTTAAAAAAAAACCCAACTTGTGCTAGTCACTTGATATTTGCTATTGTTTCCTGTGGTCTTGTAGGACACATTTCTTTACACAGATAAAGAAGGGGAAAAGAGACAGAAGACCCAGAGTTGCTTGTTCTGATGGAAGCATTCAAGAGAGCAGAAATGTTACAGAATACATTGCACAAATACACGGATGACAGACATGAAGTATGTGGCTCCTGGAAGAGTTACCATTTATGTTTAGAATTTTACTTTATGGACATAAAACCTGTAAAACCCTATCTCAGATATGTTCATCTGTTTCAAACTCATGTTAGTGTTTCACTGCCGTGAAGCTAGTTGATATAAACATAAGACCACCATTCAGTGAAATGAATAAAGCCCCAAAATGACAGAAAAGGAATTAACTTTGTACCTCTCTTGAAGCTGAGCATAAAAAGAACAAAGCTAGGAGTTATTCAAGATTTAAAGAAATAGTCGTACATCTACATTTGCTTTTTTCCTATAAATATAAGCATACCTGTTTTAAATACAATAATGTGTGATTCCAGTTTTTGCTTCTGTTTTATATGGTCATACTGCTCCTCGAGTAAGCTTACATCCATCTTGGTTGGCTGCTTATCACGATCTGAAGCCTGTTGCTCTGAGGTATGAGTCACTGAAAAAATACCAATCATGTATTTGTAAGCCTTCACCATCTGTTCCAACAAGGAAGAAAAAGTCATGCAGAAGCAAGACATTTCCTTCATTGTGTGGCAAAAAAGCAAATCAAGTATAAAGCATCTGAAATCTTCCTAAATGAAGAAGTAACTTTCTTCCAAGTATGGTGACTTCTTTCAGAAGTTGCATGGTCTAGTCTGAAGATGTGGGTTTCAGTCAGCTTGTTTTCATGCGGTGTGTCTGGAGCTACTACATACATAGTTCATGATTATAACTGGATAGTTGGATTTAATGTTGACTTAAGGTTGTGAGCATATGAAGCTTTGCCAAAAAAAACAGTGAAATACAAAACCTCGTTGAACACAGTCAGGTGCACAAAGGGCTGGGTAATACTGGTTTATGTAGTAATGTTAATTCTTAAAGGGATGCTGTCATGGTGACCTCCCCAAGACAGTAGTTCCACCAGGGAAATCTTTCTTCAGGTTTCTTTCCATGTATTTTGTGTCTTTCTCCTCCACACTCCTTTCCTTAACTTTCATCCAGTTTCATTGTTGCTGCCACTTCTTGGGGCTGTGGGGTGGGAGGGGAGGATTTGTTTATACCTTAATAATAATTTTGTGCTTATTGCTCCCTTTTAAGAATGTGTTAAAAGTATTCAGGCCTGGGTGCAGAGTCAAAACAGTATGTGCCAGTGACACTTGGAATTCAGAGGCTGGAGATAGGAATGCCTTACTCTGACTCATTCAGGTTTTCTGCCTTTCTGTAAAATGAAATAAACTATAGAAGTAATCATTTCATTACTGAGAGATGAACAAACTCTTCAAATGCACAGTAAACCACATTTTAAAGCTTACTGTACATGTAATAGTATTATCTAATAATGAGGCAAAAATTTAAAAAATACGTGGCTTTTGATCATATCAAATAAAGTACGAGACTATGTCTGGACTATTAACTGCAAATTTCTGTCCCTGAAATAGTCCATCTGATACTGTTGCAAGGGCCCAAAAGAGTGGTACATGAAAAAATAATGCAGTTAAACAATAGTTTTAATATAATTGTGCATCAGCTAGGTTCCTTGCAGTGAAAAACATTGCATAAAAAACATTGTGAAAGGGCAGTGTGTGGAAGGAATGCCGGTGTGCTCTATTTTTCCAGTTACTGGCAGAAATTATGCGATGATTTGCATTATAAATGATTTACTGAATCAGGCTCAAATCCTGCAGATCTTGGGAATCCCTTTGGAAGTTGTGCGTACGCAGGTGACAAGACTCTAGTTATGCAGTACATAGAGTTCTGGTAAGGCTCAGCAGGCTCACATGTCTAAGTCTGCTGTAATTCACTTCATTAATAATTGCTTTTGCCTTCCCAATATGCTTGTGTCTTGCAAATCGTGTCGCCTACCTCAACTGCAGTCTTTTTCTGCTTTAGCCAGAGAAAGAACAGTAAACTTGTCAGACCCTGTAGATACTCTTCAAGTTAGATTCTCTCTTGACCCTGGAAAAAGCATGTGTCATGTTAGAGGTCTTCTGATATATCGTGGCTTTGGTAGATCTACTCTGATATTCTGCATTTAGTAGTGACAAGCACCTAGTGCTCTGTACAAAGGAGTACCTCAATTGCCTTGTTTGTTCAGTGTTCTGAGTTGTTGGCACATGGAGTCCTCCTTTGGACCTTCAGGCAGTTGGTTTATACATTGGGGCAGGAGATTTAATTAACCTCATTACAGTTTGAGCTGGCATTCAATACAAACATTATTAATGGTCATAAAAGTTACCCAACCTTTTTAAAATTCCAGTCACACTATTTGACTCACTGACCTCCTGTGAAAGTGGCTTGTGCAACTTGACTATGTGTTGCAAAAAGAATTACCAGGATAGCATCCTTGAACATGAAATGTAGGCTCTGTCTTAAAAGATGTACACTTAACTTCTCATTACAAGAGCATTTAAAGTATAATGAGTTTGTATCTGATCAGAAATTATTATTAATTATTTGTACTGTACCATTCCCTCAGGATCATGGAAAAGCCATCACACTTAGTTACGCAAATGGATTATACAAGGCAGTCTCTTCCCAACAGTCGCATGGCTAAGCAGCAAAACCAGGAACTGGGAAAAGAAACCAGATGCCCAGTGAAATGAAGTGAATGAGTCCAGGTAGTACACTAGAGTGGTGGAACCAGGAACAGGATTAGCTTTTGTTCTGCTGAGCCAATCCCATATATATTGCAGTTTGTTTCCTTTTCAAGGAAAGCTTGTGAACAGGGCATCTTGATTCAGTCTCAAGAGGTGTGTATATGTATATATGTTTGTGTGTATATGTCTTTGTGTGTGTATACTTTGCTATCAAGGCATGTGTGTGGATCTGTTGTGTATATATATACACACAGACATACACACATATGTCCATGTGTGTGTTTTGTGAATAATTTGCAACCAGGATATAATTCATAAAATGAGTTGCAGGTCTAATCTACATGGTATCACAAATTACATAGAGTTAATTGTGGTTTAGATGTGTAGTAAGCTGATGTAACTAATCCTCGTTATGCCACTGAGATAAACTTGAAAATGGATTACTCATGGATTACTCTTTGCACCCCTAGCCTGTTTAGGTATTACTAATAAATAATAATAAAATTTTCTTATTGTCATACATATACACAGAATTAGAACTTCTGTTTAAATCAGTCAATCATTCAGTCTTTAAATTGAGCTGCTTGTATTTACAGACCACTGTACACTTTTAAAATACGCAGCAGGTGGCACTATTGGAGTGGTATGACTGTATGTTTGCCTTAGTCTTAAATGTTAGAGGCCTCCATTTGGCTTGTAGGTTGCTGAGGAATATAAGCAGTCAAGCCATTTCCTAGCACTGGCACACGTACTTCCTAACAGTACTATACGTTCTGAAAATTTATTGCCATGATTAGGTTTGTGTAAAAACTTGCCTTTCTTTAATTGAACAAACTCCTGTCCAAAACGCCATCTATGAGTGATTTCTGTTTGATTATCCACTGAAGTCTGAAGTGCCATATTTTCCTTAAGTCTGTTCTTCCATTACACAATGGAAGCAATTCTTCATTTCCTTGAGGCAAAAAAATTTGAGAATACTTCATAATCCAAAAGCAGTGGCTTTTAGAACTTGATGTTTACTGCCCTTGACCTTGGTTGCAAAATCTCATTTAAAAAGATGCAACTAATTTTATCTCATACTAATTAATTTGTGAGTAGTAAATTAGTTTTTTATTAAAAAATTGTTTCGAGGACCTTATAGGAATAATTGTTGATTTAAAGATAATTAAAAACGCTCATAATGGTTAACTGACTGAATGCACTGCCTGTAACACTGGATTTTACTGCACCTGCGACCAGAGGTATGTATGATTATTCATCTTGTTCATGTGCAGAATTATAGACATGTCCAACACCGTTCATGCAGGTTACAAAGATAGAATACAAATATCTGTAGATTTTAACTGGCACTGAGAAGGAGAATCAAAGTTACTGTGATAATCCCCTTTCTCTAGCTTTCTATAGTGTTTTTGTTTTTTTAATTTAAATGCAATCTTGAAGTGTTAAAAAGTGACTGTTTTATTGTTAGAAAATTTAATAACAAAAAGAAAGGTAGAAACAGGGTGGCTGCTATTATTTGGGTTCCAGCCAGTATTAGTAGAATCAATAATAATTGTTTACTTTTTAATGAGATTTTTTATGAGAGCACATATATTTCTATTATTTGAAAGCACAACCTTAAAGCATGCCAGAGTTAGAGATTGGTTAAGTAGTTAGAGCACAGGACTTTCTGATGATGCAATGTTATTTTCTGGTGCCCTCTGCATGTCCGTGCTAACGGGATGAAGGAACCTACGATGCAAGTTTTCAGAATGATCTTGAGATGTTTCTTCTGATCTGACCTTTCATGTGCTTTCAGACATAAAGGGTTCAAGTGTGTCAAAGGGAGGGTGGCCCAGCTGTCCTTCAAGTCCCTCTGAAGGTTTGGTGAGCTTGGGTCATACGTAGCCCACCTTCACATTTCCTTGATAGGATTCTATTTTCTCCCTTTATCCCTCAGGGTCTTTATGTAAATATATAATTAGGTAGTGTGTGTCTATGTAGATATATATCAATATATCTGTATATCAAAAATAAATCAGGAATGTTATTTTGTTAGCTGGTCTGAGAAGGTTGCCTGGTTAGTAGAGGCTGTAAAATGGCTTGCCAGATTTCTATTCCTTAGATCCCTGCAGTTCCCAAAGGACTGAACCTGTAGTCATATGTTTGAGTTACAGCCTAGCCATGGTGATACTGCTCAATTCAGGGTTAAACATGATGCATTGTCCTTTAAGGGGGACCACTACTTGATAACTTCACTATGTGAGCCTGATTACTTTGTATAAAATATGCATGCTTTGCAACTGTGCCCTTGAAGAGGGAACTAAAGACTGATAAAAGGAAACATCCTGCCCCAGAAGGCGCCGAAGGCCGGGTGACTGCCAAAGAAGCGTCAACTAAGGGAAAGGGAAAGGTGGCAAGGGGAGATCTGACCGACCACAGACTCAATTCAAGACTGGAAAAACTTGCAGATGTCTGGAAAGTTGAAGTCCCCCACGAGGACAAAGGCACACGATTCTGAGACTACTGCCAGCCGCTTGTAGAATGATTCATTCATCTCTTCAACCTGGTCGGGCAGTCTATAACAGACTCCCAGCACAATATCTGTCTTATTGGCTTTCCCTCTCATCCTCACCCATAAGCACTCCACCTTGTCATCAGAATCGTGTAGCTCTGTACAGTCAAAACATTCCCTAACATGTTCTGTATGTGGGGTTTTGTGCCTTGCATAAGCAGCGTTTAAAAACCTCTGTTCTTCTGTCTGGACTCTGTGGGTGCTGAGAACTAAATAATCTTCCTTTGGAGTGTTCCTTGCTGTGGAAAGTAAACTAAAATGCTGAAATTTGCTCTGTTAGAGGGCTGCTGACTCTGTTGGTTGTCTGCATTGTTAGGACTGGAATCTCTCCCCCTGTGCAAACAATCAGCATCTAAAATTTAGGGTCAGGAGTTGTGGTTCATTTTGTAGTTCTGCTGTCCTTGCCCACTGAGAACTTCTAAGATTCCCTTTTAGAAGTGGCAATGTGCAGAGGCAAGTCTAAGAAGAAACTGAAGGTATTTACCA